GCTTTCGGTGGTCTAGTCTACAGACAGTGGCATACTGGGACAGGGAACATAACGGGCCATGATGACTAATTACTATTCACCCATATAGTGAAGCGACATTGGGAAGAGGTGTCGTTACATATTCAGGGTTTACTCGGTTTAGCGCTTAGGGGTCTGTTGTTTTGGGCTTGAGGGTTTATAGGGGCTTGTGAAGGCAGTCACTGTGGACGGATGTCTGCAACGGGCTACCCATAAACTGAATTCCCAATTAGCACGATGCGCACAGTCGGAGAGCATGTAAGCCCCCAACCAGAGGATGTACAGCAGTAGGGGCCAATTAATAATCAGAATAGGGTTTTGGCGTGCATTATTATACGATAAGTTTAATAAGGAACACCCCCCACCTAGTAGGTAATTATTTAGGCCCATATATCGTGACATGTTACTTCCGGACTAGATGTGCTAAGGGATCGTCCCAACAAGGTCCCTACAGTTTTTCGTAAGCCGAAGCACCAAAAGCCCAGATTCCACACCTCGACCTTCAGCCCACGCTGACATTGATCACATCCTTAAGCCCAACCGGGTTGAGGGCTTACGGTTTAGGGTTTAGAGGTTAGAGGTTTAGGGTTTGGGGTCTAGGGGTTGGATGGGGTTAGGGTTTGGGGGTCAGCTTTCTCCCTCCAGCCCTGATTGTCTCGCGCTTCTCTGTCGGCTCTATTTGGCTCATGCTACCTTCATCCGAAGAATCAAACTTGGGGCTTAAGCTAAATACGAACCACACAGGTGAACAGCACGACATCGCACAAAGCATGCGTCACGAAACTTTGACTGCAAACACAAAGCCCTGAAGTCGAACGCATGTCTTTCCTGCCATTGCCGAGGAAGCAATACAGCTGTACGTCTTAGCAAAAAAACTTTACACAGTCCTTCCGCTTGGTTTGAAGTCAGACTTCATGTCAACCAGCTGGATATCACTTGAACAGCAGCCCAAGTCGCTACAGCAGTATGCGTCGTTCCAATGCAGCAATGCAGCTGAGAGTGGCTAGTAACACCATTTTGGTAGTTTACTGTCGTCACAGTCAGCTTGGGCCACTAGGTCAAAGGGGCACCAGCACGCAACAAACCATCTCTACGGAAAAGGTGGGTAAATCGTGCAGATGTGGTGTTTGCCCAGGCTGCCGCCTTCACTGCTTTCAGGCTTCGGCGTGCACCGTAGAGCCCGCGCTTTGCGCAGTGCCCGCACCCAACAAGGTCGTGGGTTTGGTCGGGACTGCCGCACAGTGGGGACAGCCAGAGGTCATACATCTTGAACTCTCTTCTTCAACAACCAGGTCCAAAAAAGTTCAAACATTTTAGGGTAGACCTAATATACAAGGCCAAAAAGTTTAAAGTTCTCCCTTTGGCTATCTAAGTGAAGATGCACCAACTCTAAAAATCATCCGCGCCTGGCTGATGAAGGAATTTCACGGAATTTCAGAACCGAACAGCACCACAAACCTCTGAAGCCTGAGTGTCATCTGAACATCCGGAACTCCACTGTTGAAAGATCTTACCCAAGCCCTTAAACCTATAAACCCTACAAGTGCTGAGCCCTAAATCCTAAATCCCCAAACCCCTAACCCCTAAACCTTAAATCCCAGAACCCTAAACCCTAAACCCCCTAAATCCCTGAACCCTAGATCCCTAAACCCCACAATCCTGAAAACTCTAAACCTCAGTCGATACCAGCCAGACGTCGCGCCCTCGCGGTTGACAGGCCAGAGACCGGAACTGCCTTCAATGTAAGGGTTAAGGGTTTAGTGTTTAGTGTTTAGGGATTTAGGGGTTTAGGGGTTTCGGGTGCAGAGTTTAGGGTTTAGGAGTTTAGGGGTTTAGGGTTCAGGGCCTACGAGGTTTAGGGTCTAGGGGTTCAGGGTTTAGGGATCTAGTGGTCTAGGGTTTAGGGATTTAGGGGTTTAGGGCTTAGCGGGTTGGGGTTCAGCAGCTCCGGATCGAGCAGTCTCTAGTCGAGCTCGCAGTCTCGGCTGTAGAAAAAAATCCACCCGCCCAAAGAATCCCATAGCATTCAGAAAATACAACAAACCCTAAACCCTAAACCCCTAAACAAACCTTCTACGCATACTTCGCCTTCTGCTCTGAATACAAAGCCCAGCCCTAAATCTAGCTCCCCCTACGCCTTAGCCTAATCCTTTCAAAGCCTTAAGCCTTGCAATATAGTTTAGGTTTAGGTTGTTGCCCCTCCCCCCACCCTCGAACCTTATAGCATTAGGTTTCGGAATTAGGTTTCGGACGACCTTATTCCCACCCAAGTGCCATGAACGTTGACATACATAAGGTAAGAGAGGGTTTAGGGTTTGGGGTTTAGGGTTTAGGGGGTTTGTAACAAACGTGCCCTGTCGACGACCCGAACCCTAACCGTAAGGGTCCAAGAAATCCTTATCTAGGGCTTTTGGTACGCAGAATCGTACTTCGACCCATAGGGTAAAGTCCTACCTGGACCCCAAAAGTATGTAGAATAATAGCCTTTTGGAGGTTTTGGGCCATTATTTTACCTATTTTTGAGGGTTTAGGTAGATGTTTTCGTGTTCATGAATATTACTGAAGTATGTCCTTGAGAGTGTAGGCTAATACATCGAACAGGGTCTATTATGGGCCATGTAGGGGCGACAGGGATAGTAGCACTAAATATATAAGCACCGAATCTATGGTTTCTGGTTTGCGATTTGGGTTTACAGCACAGTTTTGACAAGATTACAAATCCTTTTGGGGGGTTTTCAGGTTCGGGAGAGTAGGGCTATGGGCCTTCGCCCAAGGCACCTGATCATAGACAGTTACAGGGCTGTGTCCGTAAGATGTGCAATCAGTTTAGCACAGCGTTGACCGAATTTCTGTCGCAAAATATGGAGCTCAATGCATCAATATCCGCTGTTGGGCCCAAAGACCCTATTATATAAGGCTTTTGGACTATTTTGATGCTAAGAGTCTGGGAGTTCTCTGGGAGTGCCCTAAACCCTAAACCCTGAACCTGAGTCTCTGTGAGTGGGCTTCATCTCAGAAAGTCCAAACTGGCACTTCAGGAGCCGGGAAGAAAGCCAGCACCTTTGGGGCCCGGATCTCGGGTTTAGAGTTTAGGGTTTAGGGTTTAGTGTTTAGGGTTTATGGTCTAGGACTTAGGGATTTAATTTAGGTTTAGTTTAGGGTGTAGGGTTTAGGATTCAGGGGATAAAGGTCTCGGGCTTAGGGTTAGTGCTTGTGGTTTAGGGTTTTGGGCATAGGGTGTTGGGGCTTGGGGACTTATGGGACTTAATACTTAAGGTCTGCGAGGCGTCGGGAATCTTATGTCGGGCATGGGGTCTCGGATTTAGGGTTTTGGGACGGGCTTTCGATACCAGAACCTCCTTCAAAGACAGCTCGGTTTTTGCATAAAGGCCCTGTGCTGGAACTCGCACACTTTGTACCTGGGCCGAATTGCGGGCGCCACGGGAGTGTTTTCGGGCCATACAGGAGGCTTCTTGATTGTACAGGTTCGGTATGTGTTAGGGTTTATTTTTTCTGAGGATCCCTGCAATACTCGAAGGTCATGTGCTTTGGAAACTCCCACATGGATTGCCCTAAGGGTCCAAGTACCTAATAATCATATACTCTCCCAAATATTAACCTCCGCAACCAAAGTACCTGATTATTGGGTCCTTTGGACCCTTAGGGTTGTAGCAACCGGTGTGAAGCTGAGAAAGGCAGGAACCCGAAGAAACGTAAGTAGCAGAATTAAGCTAGAGGCCTTCATGCTTAGAATAGGGTTTAGGGTTTAGGGTTTAGGGTATACTAAACCATACTTTCAAAACCGAACCCAAAGCAAACGATGACCCTAAACCCTAAACCCTAAACCCTTAACGACCTCTCCGTCAACTCAAGATGTGACTTGGGATCTGGACTTTAGGTCCCTCAGCTCAGGGAAGAAATGCCGTGGTCCATGCGCGCATATAGTATACATTTCGTTGTTTTGTTTTTTGTTTTTAAATTGGGTTGACCGAAATGTTTGGGGTTTAGGGTTTAGGGTCCCTAAAGCATCTATATTATATAGGGACTACTCTAGGGCGACAGAAAAAACTACATGAGTATATGGACCCTATAGAGTACAGGCGGGGTGCTGCTGCGGCCTGATACCTTTCACGCAGGTCCTGGAATGACTGCAGCACCGGATTAGGAAGAACATCCTCGAAGGTCTTGATGCTGTCAGCCAAGCTCATGCGCATCAGGGCTTTGCGCAGGTCGTAGACCTAAACGCTAGCTTGAGTATTCAGGGTTTAGGGCTTGAGAGTTTGGGGGTATAGAGTTTAAGGGCTGAGGGTTTACGGCTACAGTGCACAGAGTTACCGTGACAACCCTGTTTGTGATCGACGCAACATCGATGCAAACTATAGTTATAGCAAAACTGTTGACAGGATAACTGAGGACTGTACTTGTTCTTACTTAGATATTAAACTCCGAGTAGAAGCCCTTCATACGAAGCAAGATGACAAAGATAGTGTGTCTGTAAGATTTGTCTCAGAGATTGATAACAATGTCGGCAGCACGTTACGACTTCTTAGATTGCATTCAACGCAGGGCGGCAGATGTACTCAGCCCTTCGGTGCTCCGTACTGTAAACCTTATTCCCTAGATACCTACACCTGCACCCGGCCTACGATTTGTCGAAAATAAAAACCCTTATCGTATACAGCCCAAAATCAGTCGATCATGCTGAACCTTAAACCCTTATATAGTAGCCCTCAGCACTTCGATTAAAAACCCTAAAGCCTAAACCTACAAAGTAACCCCAAATACTTCCAAAACCCAAAACCCTAAAACCCCATAGCAACCAACACAAGTTCGAAAACCCTAAACTGAAAACCCAAGTATCCCGAATAACTTCGAGCATACTTAACCTAAACCCTTACAGCAAAACCGAAAACTTCGAACACCCTACACCCTAACTAACACCTCATAGTAAGCTTAAGCCCTAAACCCTAAACTCTGCGTGCCTGCTTCTTGTGGCTCCGGTCGAGGCCCTGCTGCGCATGCTTCGAGGCCTCCTCTTCCAGAAGCTGGATCAAACCTCGGCGCAGGTTTAGGTCGAGTTTAGGGTTTAGGCGGTGCGAGTTTGGGGTGTCACGGTATCTTACCCCACCCAAACCCTCTGCTTCTAGGATGTAGGGTTTTTAAGCTAATCTTCGAAACCCTACACTCTCCACTCGTGAGGGCGCCATGTCGAGAGTTATCTTTTAATCTGTCAAAAAATAAGCTTGTGGGGCGTCCTAGGTCAGGAATGCAGAAAGGGGTCAAGCCTCGAGAAGTGTAGGGTTTACGGATTTAGGGGCTGGAGGTAGGGAGGGGGCGCTGGAATGTTGTTACGGTGTAGAGTTTAGAGTATAGGGAAAACTGCTGCCACCACAACAACGACAGTGGCGGTGGTAGTGGTGTGATGATCGCGGTGGCGGTCGAGGTGGTGATGTTGGTCATTGATGTGGTTACGGTTGTCGTCATGGGCGATGATGATGATGATGATGATGATGATGATGACGATGGCGATGGTGATGACGGTTATGATGATTGCGATGACGATGATGATGAGTATCATGATGATATCATGGTGATAACGGTGATGATGATGATGATGATGATGATGATGATGATGGTGATGGTGATGGTGATGGAGATGATGAAGATGATGATGGTGATGATGATGATGATGATGGCAACTAAATTGTGGTGGTGGTAGTGGTGGTGGTGGTGGTGGTGGTGGTGGTGGTGGTGGTGGTGGTGATGGTGGTGGTGGTGGTGGTGGTGGTGCTGCTGCTGCTATGGTGGCGGTGGCGGTGATGGCGGTGGTGTGGTGCTGTGCTGCTGCTGCTGCTGCTGCTGCTGCTGCTGCTGCTGCTGCTGCTGCTGCTGTTGCTGGTGCTGCTGGTGCTGCTGGCGGCGGCGGTGGTGGTGGTGCTGGCGGTTGCGGTGATGGGAGTGCCGATGACAATAATGACAGAAACGTCACTGCCATGCTCGGGCACAGATGATGTTAAAGAGGAAAGTCATAGAACAGACAAGACTGTTAAACACATACAAATGCAAGCAGGCACATCATCAGACGCCGAGGCCAAAGCCCAACAAAATGAACTCCAACGGTCCTGATATTTCCAAGACACTGCCAGCCTCGTACGTGAGACCTTCTCGGTCAAGCCCTGCACGAACAGCTGCGAGGATCAGGTCCATTTTCTCCTTCACATCGAGCCGCTGCAAGACGTAGCGCTGCCTCTTAGGGTTTCCAGGGCTCAGGGTTTGGGCTGTAGAGTTTTAGGGTTCTGGGTTTAGGGTTTAGGGTTTAGGGTTCAGGGTTTAGGGTCTAGGGTTTGGGGTTTGGGTTTTAGGGTTCAGGGTTAGGGGATGGGTGAGACCCTAAACCACTAACCCCACACCGGAATCACATCTGTAGTTATCTTGGCATGTAAGGCTTCAAGTCGCAGACCGGCGCCTCTGGTTCAGCTTCATGACCGGTACATCATGAGTCATGTGGCAGAAATTGCAGCCCTCCACATGGCACGCACCGTTCTTCGCCATGTAGATGCATGGTCGGGCGCAGAGAGATGGATGTCCGCAGCTGCCCGGGTTGCAAGGCACCATGCTGCTTGGAATTGCTATGCTGCAGCTTGGCACTAGACGAGAACTGCCACAAACCGAGCCGCAAAAGCTATGGCAACAGAGATGCTATATAGGCCTTCCGTTCAATAGAAATCCTTTCCCAAACTCGAAACTACTCACAGGCTGATTTTAGTCAGCTGAGCAAGTTGGTTCAGGCTTAAGGGCTTTAAGGCTCTATAGGGCCCAGGGTTGTAAAGCCTTCAGGTGACGAAGGTAAGAGTTGAAGCTCTTTCAAGAGCAATGGTTCTGGGCTTCTGCAGCAAATCTCTTACCCTAGGCTTCCAGGGACCTCATTGTTGGGTCCTTAAGGGGTCTAGGGCCCTGACTTTAAGGTCCTTGGAAGCCCAGGGTTAGTACAGGAATCCAACATTTCGAGGAGAGAAACAGACCGCAACCTCATCACAACACTGACACCCCGTGCCCGTAACCGGTGAAGTGGATATCGCCATCGTGCACTGCCGCACAACCCGACAGGCCTTCTTGGCACCCGGCTCCTGAGGGAGTGTCAGTGGGTTCTGAAATGCTTATGGTTAATTCTGGCTTGCATTGGCCTGAAAGACTGCCAGCATCTTCTCGAAAGACATGTCAAGACTCTGCTACGACTCCTCATACACATCTTCATCCAACTGCCTATGACTACGCCAACAACAACCCGCAAAGCGCTTAAAAGATTGAAGCCTACTTGGAGGTTCATGGCTAGCTAGAAGTCGGGTTAAAAGTCCCCTAATATGCATCATAACTTAATCATAACTCTAATTACCTTATAACTCCTACCTAATCACCCATGACTCTCCAAGTAAGCCATGACCCGAACCTTCGGTCGCAACCCCTGCCTCATCTCATGGATGTTGACTACGCGCTATAATGATAAATAACCCTATGCTTCCAAGGACCTGAACCTACGGGTCCAAGTACCTATTCATCATATACTCTCCCAAATATTAACCTAGATAACGACTATCCGCAACCAAAGTACCTGATCATTGGGTCCTTTGCACCCTTAGGGTTATAGTTTGGGCCCCGGATTCCTTAAGGACCTAATACTAAGGTCCCTGGAAGCATAGGGTAAGTGTACGACCACCGTCATCACCTTTTGATACAACAGGCATTGCTTTTAGTGTCATCCTCCACCAGGTTCTCACGTGTATCCAAACTCTATACCCAGATTCTGCCCTGGCTGCCCGTAACGCCCCGACCCAAACGCGAAACCCTAAACCCCAAACCCTGAAACCCCAACCCCTAAACCCCTAAACCCCTAAACCCTAAAACCCTATAAGCCCCAACCCCTAAAGCCCTAAACCGTAGACCAAGGCCTCTTCCGGGGTTCGCTCAGGGGCCTGTGGGGACGCCTGGCGCTGTCGACAGCTACATGCTTCGCGTTTCGAGCTTTGGCTGGAGCAGATTCAGTATGTGGAGTTTAGGCCTACTGTTTAAGTTTCGTGTTTGGAATTTAGAGAATCGGGTCTAGCATGGAGGGGCTTCTGCTTGGGATTTTGGCCCGGCTTCGTGCTTCTTAGTCTTGATGGGACAGGTCAAGGATAAATGATGTGATAGTTGCAGTTACGACTAGAAATTGCTACTAGTTAGTACTCCTCCTCCTCCTCATCCACCTGCTCCTCCCGCTTTTCCTCTCACTGCAGCTGCATGTACACCGGTCTCAACAATGCGTCCCGACCTTCCTTTGACACTTGAACCCAGGATGACTTAAGACGTAATGCGCCAACGAAGTCCTAAACTCCCTAAACCCTAAACCCTAAACCCTAAACCGCAGCCCAGAAGAAGGGACTCGGATTTGGGGATTCGGCGTCTTCAGGTTCCTTCAACGCCGTCGTCGTTTATCGGATCTTCACCCACGGGTCCATGTACCAAATGGTATGTACTTTGGCCTATATACCAGGACCCCCCAATGGCCCTTTAATGCAGCCCTTATGGTCCTTAATAGTGGGTACTTGGGGCTATAATAGAGGGTAGTTGGGGGGTCTAAGTAGGGTTTATGGTTTAGGTTTAGGAATTAGGGTTTATAATACAGGTAGTTTAGGGCCAAAGTATATACTATTTGGGTGCATGGGCCCTTAGGGTCACACTCGAAAATCAAACAAGTTGAACCCAAATCCGAAAACCTAAACCTTGTCCAGCAAGATACCATATAAATACGAGGGCCTTAATAATTCGAATAGGGTTTTGGGGTATGTTATACTGTAATTAGAATAAGAAACCCACAAAATAGTATTGGTAGTTATTTGGGCACTACATTATTGCGTTCTATGGGGTTAAGGGATCTACATGGACGCAGCAACAGCTTGACGCAGAAGTATGTCCAACTCTCTGCACAATGCTGCTGTTCCACCGCCCGGAAACCGTAAACCCTGAGCCCTGAAACACTCGGCTGGGAATTCTGAGGACGAGGTTTTGAGAACTTTACGGCGCCTAGGGTTTAGGATTTATCCTAATTAGGGTCCAAGTACCTAATAGTCATATACTCTCCCAAATATTAACCTAGATAGCTACTATCCGCAACCAAAGTACCTGATTATTGGGTCCTTTGGACCCTTAGGGTTAGGGTGCAAGATTCCGAGCAACTTGTGCGCCTGAGGCTTCTCTTCACCATTGCCTGTGCTGCGCAAGTACCCAGAACCATGACAACTGTGCTTCATAATCAATACCTGGACCCCAAAAGTATGTAGAATAATGGTCTTTTTGGAGGTTTTGGCCCTTATTTTACCTATTTTTGAGGGTTTAGGTACCCACTTAGCCATCGGACGAGAGACTTTCGTAAGCCCAGCCGCAACCGTAACTCCAAGAATTTACCTACGCAGTCACACCCGCCCCTCTGCAAGCGGCCCAACTCAATGAAATACCCGAAACTCCCTCAACCCTAAACCCTCAGAGTTCAGGGTTTGGGGGTTTATAGGGTTTAGGGTTTAGGGTTGAAAAACCCTAAGCCTCTAAAACCTGAGATCCTTGGTATTCTCGCTCGGATCGTCCGCAGCGACTGCTTGAACCAAACCCTAAACCCATAAATCCTATAAGCCTGAACCATTGAAGACCTATAAACCCCTAAGCCCTTAATCGTGGCTTCCGAACGGTTTGAGTCTCAGCATGTTGCCGATTGCAAAGCTCGCACCGGTCCTTTTAAAGATCCTAACTATACTAAAAATGGTTACATAAAGAAGGAACTACGACGGAAATTACACAATCCAAACGCGACTTTCCTTTTCTTCCGGAGAAACTATATACACCAGCTGACTCAAGAGAGCACGTTGCTCGAGATCACATCACGGCTCCTCGCCACAGACACGTAACCGAGGAACACGTCGAAGTTCAAGGCCTACACTACTTGCAGGGTTTCATCTTGTAGCCCTGGATCAAAGTGACCTGTAGTCTCCATTGTAGTTCCTTTTTGGGGATAACCAGTTATTGTAGTTCCTTTTTGGGGATACCTTATAAAATTCTTAATATATAACTGGTTTAAACCAAAAAAAGGAACTACAATGGAGACGATAGGGAGTTCCACCTTCTTGACATTGCCAGGCAGTGTTCTTTGCCACTTGAGAGCCATTCCGCAGCACGGGGCATGGTAGCCCTTGCCATGCTTCATGTCGCCAATCACGTCGGGTTTAGGGTTTAGGGATTTCGGGTTTAGTTTAGGGTTTACAGGTTTAGGGTTTAGGGTTTAGAGATTTAGGGTTCAGGGTTTAGAGGTTTAGGGTTTAGGGTTTAAAGATTTAGGGTTTAGGGTTTAGAATTTTAGAGGTTTAGGGTTTAGGGATCGAGTGGCACTGCTCGTCTGATGGCTGAGTCTGGGAGGATGTGCCGGAGCCCGGCCTTTGCAGCGCAGAAATTCGGCGCTTAGTCCGCTTGCTTCGTTGGCAAAGGCTGGTGCAGAAGAGACTGTAGGGGCCTAAAGACTTACCACTACTATTTTGGGGGTTCCTTATTATAGTTGTAGTATAATATACCCCCAAACCCTATTCCAGTTATTAAGGCCCCTACTTCAGCCGCATCTATATCACAACGACCACGACATGAGGAACGTCTTGTCTTGACAGCGCACCTCAACCCTAAACCCTGAACTCAAAACCAAACCCTGAACCCTAGTCCTAAACCTGAAACCACAAACCAGAGCCCTGAAATCTAGCTCCCAAACCCCTACCTTAACCCAAACAGCCTAGCTTCCCAAGGACTTATATAGGCAAATCTTTGTTCAGGAACCCCTAAAAGGTCCACGTCAACCATCCCAAGAGCCTTCCTTTGATCTTTCGGCATCCTGTTGCGCTCTGTTTGCCACCTTCCAGGATTCCAGGTGAAAAGACGCAGCCCTCAAGGTCCCGGTTTAGGGTTTGGGGCATACCTTAAGAACCCAAAACCTACTTTTTTGTAGGGTCCCTATAAGTCCCCATATTGGGGTTTATAATAAGAACCTACAAGAAAGTGGGTTTGGGGTTCTTAAGGTAGGGCTTAGGGTTTAGGGTTTCGGGGCTGAAGGGATAGGTCTGATGGGTTTAGGGCTTATAGTTTAGGGGTTTAGGGTTTAGGTTTAGGGTTTAGGGTTTAGGGTTTAGGGTTTAGGGTTTAGGTTTAGGGGTTTAGCGTTTACCTAGACCCCATAGCACCACACTTTTTTTGGATCCTCATTACAATTGCCTCAGATACGTCCTTGTTCAAATTTAGGTTGATTGGGGTTAAGGTAGGGGTTTTCGGATTGTAGTTATGTGAAGAGTATATGAGTATTAGGTACTTGGACCCTGACGAGAATCGTGTAATCTGGAAACCTTTGCTGGTGGAAAAGTGTCTCTGCAAGGAGGTTCTTTCACGGGTTGCTATGAAAGTTATTGTACTTTGTCATAGGGGCCTGAATCCTTAGAACACGGCCCTAGGGTCTAGTACATTATAATTATATGGGGTTGTCCTTGCTGCGGGAACATGCCATGACAGACTCACGACTATTCCTAAGCAGCCTTCCAATATACAGTCACCCCCAACCCCAGCACAAGTCTTGGTCCGTACGGACATGGCGGCATTGAACATGCTGGCCTTCTGGCCCGCTACATCCTGCAGCTTAACACGATGCACTGGCTCCAGACGTACTGCCTCGACGTTGCCAAAGCTCTGATTCATTTCGCCCGAAGCTCGCAGCCACGAAACTCTAAGACCCTATAGCCCAAAACCCCAAAACGGGAAACACCAAAGGCTGTTAAACCCTTTCCGCCGACAAACGTGCGTCCCCCCTAAACCCGCCTAAACCCCCCTAAACCCCTCTTAACCCCCCTAAACCCCCCTAAACCTCCCTAAACCGACCTCCTTGATCCGGTTCATGAGGACGATGATCGGGTTGCAGCCCGGCTTGATCGGCCCCTCCTGAAGGACGGAAACGCATTAGGGTTTAGGGTTTAGGGTTTAGGGTTTAGGGCAGTGCAGGGTGTCGTATGCCATGATACTCGCAACTGGAAATAGGAGCTGCAGGATGTGGAGTTTGTTCCTCAGCTTTGTGCTTCTTTCCAAAATATCAGGCTAATGATACCCTAACCCCCCAGGTGCTTACTATATAGGGCACCAGAGCCCAAAAAGGGCCCTAAAGAGTAGGTACCTGGAGGGTTAGGGATAGACATCCGCGTGCTCCACAAGCCCCAACCCTGCTTTATCCAGGCAGGGCTTCGTGTTCGATTTAGGGTTTAGCCCTAAGGGTCCAAGTACCTAATAATCATATACCCTCCCAAATATTAACCTAGATAACTACTATCCGCAACCAAAGTACCTGATTATTGGGTCCTTTGGACCCTTAGGGTAGGGTTTAGGGTTTAGGGGTCGATCTCCGGGAAGCCATACCTGGGCTCCTGGGACCAAGCAAGGCCTACCTTTTTTGGTGGCTTTTACATTTGGAGTTGCTTACAGAAGTCCTTGAAGTGGTGGGTCTTTTGGGGTGTAGGGTTTAGGGTTACTTTTGGTGGCCTTTTCCTTGGATTTGCTTACAGAAGTCCTTGAAAAGGTGGTTCATTTTGGGGTAACGCTAAGGGTCCAAGTACTTAATCATCAGATACTCTCCCAAATACTAACCTACAAAACTACTACCCCTAAGCCAAGTACCTAATTTTTAGGTGCTTTGGACCCTTAAGGTAAGGTAGTGCTCCAAGCCTTCAGAACCTGAGAGTCTGAGTAGAAGTCTGATGGGCCGCCGTGCGTCATGTAGGGGCCTTAATGATTCGGATAGGGTTTTGGGGGGCCCATGTAAAGGGTTCGAGCTACTATAAGGGTTTAGGGTGTAGGGGCCTTAATAACTCGAAAAGGGTTTGGGGGCCAAGTAAACTAAATAATTAGAACAAGGAACCCTACAGTAATACTGGTAATGATTGAGGCTTCTATATGATCCACAGCAACCACAAGTGGAGCACCGTGGTCTTTCGTGCCGTGGGCTTGAGCGGTCTTTGAGAATGTCTTCTTCGTCTGCTAAGAAGGCTTTAAACGGATTGTTGAAGTGGAGCTAGGATTATGGGGACCCTTGGGGATATAGACCCTCTCAATAAGGTCCCTTTTAAGAGAGCCAAAAGTAGGGTTCAGAAGGGGTGCCCTTTAAGGGGTACCCCTAATAATTAATACTATCTATGAAGGGGGTTGTGGGGATTCCTAGGGCTCACGGTTAGACGGTTTAGAGTTTCTTTTTAAGGTTTAGGGTTTAGGGCTTTTTTTAAGAAAAGTGTTCTGGGACTTTCTCTCTGCCGAGGTCCAGCCACAGCCCTTACGGCCAAACACTCGAAGCATACTAAAACAACTTCCTCTCACAAGTCGCCCTCCTCCTCATTCAAGGTTCTGAGTTTAGGGTTCTGGGCTTCCTGAAGGATTGCTCAACGCAGCACCGCAATGGAGAACCAAGGACTTCGAACCTGAAAGCCTTGACCACTGACAGCCACATCTGCGTAAAATGGCCACAGCAAAGCCTAGAAAGACAAAATGAGATTCGGACACACACAGTCAAATCCTGAAACTGTCCGATGTAGCAGCTGCACCGGAAAAACTACTCTAACTGCAAATACATACTACCTATCGTCTCCATTATAGTTCCGGTTTTTGGTTTAACCAATTCTATATTAGGACTTGTATAAGGTATCCCCAGAAAAACCTAAACCCTAAACCCTAAACCTTAAACCCCACTGGTAGTAGCTTTCTCCTCCATGATCTTGTCTTGAAGGTCAGGCTTCAGATTCCGAAGAGCCTGGTTTAGGATGTAGGGTTTTAGGGTTTAGGGTTTAGGGTTTAGGGTTTAGGGTTTAGGGTTTAGGGCTTAGGGTTTAGGGGTTTCGAGCAGCTGCAGTTCAGCCCGTACGGTTTAGGGATTCGGGTTCAGGGGATATGGCTTCGAAACCCTAAACCCTAAACCCTGACCCCTAAACCCTAAACTCTAAAACCTAAACTATAAACTCTCAACCTTAAACCCTAAACTAACCCTAAGCATGCCGATCCAGAAACTTCGGTTCTCCGTAGCATCGAAACAGCCCAACAAGAGCCCCTAAAGGTCTATGTACCCAGATAGGGTTTAGGGTTTAGGGATAAAGTAGTCCCCATATAGGTACTTTGGGAAGCAATGTATGTACTATTAGTTACAGCAGGAAACAAATCACAGAAGCCCTGCCAACCAAGACCCCTACAGCCCCGAAGACATGAGCTCCAGCTCCAAACGACACACCAACACCATCAAAAGACCCTGCACCTGCCCCCAATAGGCTCCGTTGGAGTTCCCTTTTGGGGGGTTACTTGATATAGGATCCTAAATATACGTCACAAAAAGGAACTATTAATGGAACCTCTGGGTAAGTCTGAGACCCTACAACCCCCCAAAGCCTAGGAAATAAGACCTGATCCCACAGCCCTAAGTGCCCGAGCCCACATGATCCGAAAGGCTGGGCTATGACAGATGGTAGCTGTGGGAGCGAATGTAGAGTCCGACTACCTCATAGTGATATTCCTTGAAAAAGTCCGTGCCCATTAAGTGATAGTTTGTGTAATACACCCCCAAAGCCTAAACCTGGCACCGGAAACCCACCCAATCCTACATCCGGCACCGGTAGTACGTCCTAGGGCTTAGGGGGTTTTGGGGTTTAGGGCGAAATGCGAAATCGGCAGCCCATCCCCCCCCACCCCCGCCCCCGGTTCTGCGGCCTCCATGGCTTGTGGGATCCTGGGCATTCCGTGGCTTCTGCTAGGGTTTAGGGTTTTGCGTTTAGGGGTTGAGGTGTAGGGCTTAGGGGTTTAGGGTTTAGGGGTTTAGGGGTTTAGGGTTTATAGGGTTTAAGGGTTTAGGATTTTAAGGGTTTAAGGGTTTAAGGGTTTAAGGGTTTAGGGTTTAGTGTCGTTCCATGGCTTCTGGTGCTTCGAAGAAGGATGGAGTTGGTGGGTTTGGGTGGTAGGGTTTTGGTTCCCAAAAACCCTAAAACTAAGATTGACGGGAAAGGACTTACGGAATCCAAGGTGTTCTGCGATCACGTGGGTAGTTTTCTAAACTAGGGTCCCGTTTTAGGTCCCCAATATAGTACGGTACCCTTTTTAAAAAGGGCACTAAAATGGGCCCGAATTCAGATAACTACCCATGTGGAGTTTAAACGCATCAGGGTTTAGGCACTCGGGTCTCATGGACTAGGGCTTTCAGGATTCGGGATGTCAGGCGGTGTAGAGATCAGAAGGGTTGCGGGTTTAGGGCTAGGGAGTATAGGGGTTCCGGGTTTAAGGTTCTGTTGCCAGCGCTGTTTTGGCTAGGCATCAGCAGATGGAAGGGGAACAAAAACTAGTCAGAGAAAGGCAACACTGGTTTGATGCACGGGCTCTGTCCCGGTCCATGATGTCCCACGCAGAAAATGGGGAAAGCACAGTAGCGATTCGCAATACATGACCCGCGATTCAAGCCTCTAGAAACTTTAGCCCCGCACCACAACCCCAAACCGAACCCTAAACCCTAAACCCTAAACCCTAAACCCCTAAACCCTAAACCCTAAACCCTAAACCCTGCAGTCCCTCATCTCAACACCTGCCCGAAGCCCTGCTTCCTGAACACGACAGCCCTAAACCTTTACCCGAAGGGTCCATGTTCCCAAATAGTATACCCTAACCCACCAGGTACCTACTATATAGGGCCCTAGGGGCTCTAGTACCCTATATAGTAAGTACCTGGGGGGTTGGGGATATACTTTGGCTTCAAAGTACCCATAGTGGAATTATACTTTTTAAGGCCAAAGTACGTATGTACTCCTATTCTGTATTATACATACGCATACATTTCTCTCTATATATATAATATGTGTATACATATATATACATATATATATATATATACACACAAGTAGGTGTGTATATATGTATATGTTTATATGTATATACATATATATATATATAACTATTTGGGTACGTGGAACCTTTGGGTCCAGCATTTGCTGACATGCCACAGCCCACTTCGCTCAGCAAACTTCTGAAGTCGCTCCTCGCGGTCATCACCTGGGTAGCTTTCTAAACTAGGGTCCCTTTTGGGGTCCTTTTTATAAGGGTGCCGCACTATCTTCCTAAACCCTAAACCCTAAACCCCAAACCCTAAACCCTAAACCCTAAACCCTAAACCCCAAACCCTAAACCCTAAACCCTAAACCGTACTACAGTGGGACCTAAAAAAGGAACCCTACTTTAGAGAACTACCCATCTCGAGAAGCTCTGACGGCTCCAGGGCTGAAGGGCTTCCGGTTTGGGGATTAAGGAGTTTAAGGGGTTTAGGGGGTTTAGGGGATTTAAGGGGGTTTAAGGGGGTTTAGGGGGTTTAGGGGATTTAAGGGGGCTTAAGGGGTTTTAGGGATTTAAGGGGTTTAGGGGGTTTAGGGTTAAGGGGTTGAGGGTTCAGGGGTTTTGGGTTGTTGGGGGCTTTGACTTTGAAGCGAGCGTCTTTTGGATATCGTGGGGTCCTTGCTGTCAGGATCCTACTCTTCTACATTCTACATGCGGGTCACCCCGACTAAAGACTGATGTTGAAGTGCTTCGGGGTCTTTGGTCTTGGCGGTTAGAGTTGTGAGGGTCAATTACTTACTACCGAAAGCCTGCCAAGACAAGCTTTGCCTCCGGCTTGTGGTGCTACAACGACCATGACCTACTTTTCTGTAGATTCTCAGTAGAAACCCAAATAGAGAATTCATAGAGGCTCTACAAAAAGTAGGTTTGGCGCGTTCAAGGCAGGGACAGTGCCAAGCTTGCAAAAGAAAAACGAAGGCTCCGCCCGGCACTCGCCAAAAAGCCCCCAAAAGCGAACCTCGGGCCCCAAACTCATCCTTTTCGACCCCAAAGACCCTAAACCCTAAACCCTAAACCCCTAAACCCTAAATACCCTAAACCCTAAACCTGAAACCCCAAACTCATCCCTTTCGACCCCAAGGCCAACGAACAAAATAATTGAAGATGTGTTCACTGTGGTCAGGCGTGCTTGCCTAAACCCTATAACCCCCGCAGGCACCTACTCTATAGGGTACTAGAGCCCCTATAGGGCACTATATAGAAGGTACCTGGAGGGAAGCGCAAACCCTAAACCCTAAACCCTGAACCCCTAAACCCTAAACCCTAAACCCTAAACCCTAAACCATCCACCAAGAAAGAAGCCCCCACCTGCAGGAGCAGCCTTTTCTGCCTGCATGCCAGCCGGGAGGGTCTAGTTTGGGGTTTCGGTTCGTGTTGTGGGATGAGGGCTTAAAGGTAGGGCTTAGGGTATAGGGTCTGGGGCTCATAGGGTTAAGGGCTATAGGCTTTAGTGTAGGCTTCGAATTCTGGGTTGAGGACATCAGGGTCCGAATGGTTTCTTGAGGAGTGGCACTGTCTTGCAACTCACGGCAAGGCAGGCTTTGGGGATCCTTGTGGCATAGTTTAGGGTTTAGGGTTTAGGGTTTTGAAGTGTGTGGGGCTCTCCAAGGCTTAACCCAGCAAGCGGCGTTGACCGGAATTCCACTATACCTGAAGCGAAGTTATGAAGGGAATGGAATGCGCGTAAGACAGAATAAGTTAATCTCAAGCAAGGCATCTCCGGAAGTGGAGTCTCTGATGAACTCAGGGGTTTTTGATTCAGGCTTTGAGGTCAAGGGGTTTTGGATCAAGGGTTTATAGGGTTTAGGGTTTACGGGTTTGGGATTTAGGGTTCAGGCTTTGGGGTTTTGGATTTAGGCTTTAGGGTTTAGGGGTTTAGGATTTAAGACTCAGGGTTCAAGGCTTTGGGATGCAGGGGTTTGGTTCAGGGTTTAGGTTTTCGTCCTGGGTAAAAGGTTCCTGCCAGATTCACTCCTTTGGGTTTTCGTGTTGGGCAAAAGGTTCTCGCTGGATTCACTCCTTAGGGATATCGTCTTGGGGAAAGGGTTCTTGCTGGATTCGTTTTCGGTCACAGGTTCCTGCTGGATTCACTCCTTAAACCCTAAACCTTTTAAGGGGCAGGGCAGGGCAGGGCAAAGACGGCAAGGGAGGGCACACCTTAGACCAAAGAAGTCGGTGTGCACCTTAGCCAAATTAACGCCTGCATCTTAGACGTCGCGCCGCTCCAGGCTAGGGATCTGAACAGGCTAGCTTCTTTGGCTACTTATGAATGCACCCAAACCACCTCCCCTTCAAAACCAACAAAAGATCCAGTCTTTATTCCGGACGCACAAAAACCGCAAGCCTCACACTTTTTCCTCTTCATCCTCAACGGCAGATCCCAAACTCTAAACCTGTTTGCCTCTTCGGTCGTCGCTTCTGCCTTCTTCTCTTCCTGGCCCATGCCTCGCAAGGTTGGTCCACTTGAGGGTTGTTTAGGGTTTAGGGTTTAGGGTTTAGGATTCAGGATTTAGGGTTTAGGGTTTAGGGTTTAGGCTGGTCGGGCTTGGGCTCTACCTGTAGTCTCTATTGTAGTTCCTTTTTGGGGATACCTTATAAAATCCTTAATATATACTTGGTTAAGCCAAAACAAAGAACTACAATGGAGACTATAGGTATTCTAGTTTGTGGGGTATATGCATGTAAGGTTCAGGGCCTTGGCAGCGAGGTTAAGGGGGTTTAGGGCTTTGGTGACTAAACTCTAAACCCTAAACCCTAAACCCTAAACCTTTATTCGACTAACGGCTTTCCACAGGCTTCTTACAGCGACTAGGTTCTGCAAAATCGGCGTCCCCGAAACCTGAAGCCTAAACAAACCCGCAGCCTACATCCACATCACAACAGCCAAGAACCAAAGTCCTCAAGCTTAAATGCGAACACCCTTAAGCCTACATCCAAACCTCAAAAAGACAATTCGAAACTGCCGTGATGCAGAGAAGCTTGCACATAAAGCACTTAAATGCACTCGAGCTATGCCGCACGCTTCCACTTTGTTCGGGTTTGCCCCGAGAATCCTTTCGCGTTGAGGGTTCTATGCTGGGATTATTCTCAAAAAACTTTTCTGTTGCACATAATATAGGCTTCCAACAAAAAATCCAATATCCGCAAACCCAACATCACGAAACCACAGATTTCCAAACGATGCATAACCACAGACACCAAATCCCAAACCCTGACCCTATCAACACCGAACCCCAGCACCCAAACCCTTAACCCCAAAGCCCGTACATACCCCAAGAAGCCTTAAGAATCCGCAACGCTCGCCTGCATCGACCTCTTTGGTCTCCTTCTTAGGCGACTCCTCCACCTCCTGTCAAGCTCGCTTTGACAACAATAACGACAATGAACCACCGCTAGCTTTCAATACCCTAGGCCCTACAAACCCTGAACCCTATTCTCAAACCCTCAACCCTAAGCCTCAAGCCTAATCTCCGGAACCCTGATGTTTATGGCAAGTATGTCGGGGGTTCTCAGGCACTCTCGGGTCGGGGGTTAGAAACTCAGTGCCTCGAGGTGTTGGATGTAGGGTTCAGACGACACGGTCTTGGGTGTACCTGTAGTCTCCATTGTAGTTCCTTGTTGGGGATACCTTCTAAAATTCTTAATATATAATTGGTTAAACCAAAAAAAGAACTACAATGGAGACGATAGGTAGGGTCTCGATTTCCGGCTTATAAGCTGTATTTATAAGGATTTCGTTCATGGCTTTAAGGATGTCTGACTGCCGGATGTCTGGCGGGGATTCCAAGTTTGCATTTCTCGCCTCTTATGCGGTCTGAGGGAGCTCTGGGGGGGGGGGTGTAGGCAGAAGCCTCGGACAAGACCAAGAGCCTGAGCAGAAACCCACGATCTGCGTACCCGGCTCGGCCGTAGAGGCTTTCCGGCGGTTGAGGCTTGGGCTTTGGGGCTTCAGGGCTAAGGTTGCGGGTTTAGGAAGGTTTAGGGTTTAGGGGTTTAGGGTTTAGGGTTTAGGGTTTAGGGGTTTAGGGTTTAGGGTTTAGGGTTTAGGGTTGAGGGTTTGAGGTGTAGGATCAACAACCCAGAAACTCCAAAAACCCTGGGTCAGTGAACATTCGCTGAGCCAGAGTAGGTATCGTTAGAACCGGATGCCTTAAGAAGATTGGAGTCCCTGGCAGCCCGTCGATCTACAACCTTGAAACCCACACGGTTTAGGGTTTCGGGTTTAGGGGTTTAGGGTTTAGGGGTTTAGGGGTTTAGGGTTCCCCAACTATCCACGATTGTTTGTGAGTAACAAACACTAGCAAGATCTCTAGGTCCTATTCTAGGTTAGTCTTTGGCAAACACTCGATCCCAAATGCCCGATCCAATAACAACCCGAAAACACAATGCATTCAACTTAAGTCCGCAGTAAGCCTCAACCCCAAAATCCTGAAACCCTGATCGTAGTTGCTTCTAGTAAGCTTGGAAGGAACCTTTAGTTAGAGGAACTCTAGTCTAGAATAGTCTATAATCGGAGCCGGAGAGTTGGAGCATTGTTGTCCTTATGCCCTAGAGGTACAGTGTAGGGGGTCCTAGCACTAATCATCCTACATCCATGTTCCAACTTTCTGGGATTCACTGTAGAACCAATCCTTACAGCCGTGGGACTCGCAACCAACAAATCGAAACTCTGCAGCGAGGACCGGTTTCCCAAGATGAGGCATTGTCGCAGGGTTTGTGTGGGGTTCAAGCGCCTTGAACATATTTCAAAACCTGTAGTTTATAATTAGGGTATAGGGTTAAGGTTCACATTGAAGTGCTTTGAACGTTTTCCTGTTTATTCAGCAATTTTGGGGGGGACCTGAAGCAGTCCCCAGCATGGCAAAACACTGTCCTTGACTGGCTCCGTCTTAGCCTCCTCTTTCTGTGCCACAGGGCTCGGCTGGCGCCTTGGCACGCCACACAGGTAACAGAAATCGTGATCGTGGTGGTCATGGTAGGAAATCAGAGGAAAAGACCCTAAACCCTAAACATAGGCCCGATATGTGGACAAGCTGAAAGCTTTCCTTTCAACCTGGAGTGGCACCCTTCCGATTCATGTAGGCGCCCTAAACCCTAAACCCTGCTTTTTCGGAGGTGCGGTCATCATTACCTGAGTCTCGCACGGAGGGCTTGGCGCTGCCTTTACCTCCTGGCATGGCAACTCCGAATCAGTGAGCCCTAAACCCTAAACCCTCAAGCTCTATGCTTCAACCTGGCAGCTTCGAATTAACATCTACATCCGCATTTTAGGGTCGAGGGTGCAGCACTTAGGCGTCGTTGAGCAGCACTGCAGTGTTTGTGTGCATGCCTTAGACTTGCAGTCACAGATGTGCACCTGCTGAATTCGCTGGCGTGCGTAACAGAAACCCTAGAAGTAAACTCTGAAATGGTTTCTGCCGGAACCATGGCCGCGACAGCACAGCATGAACTCCGACCTCGCAATCCTCATCGCACTTGCAACCCTTGGGTGCAAGCACAATATTTTCGCGTATCCTATCTCTTGTCAAACAGATCATCCGTTTGCCGTAGGAGTGTAGCCATGAGAAGTGGAGCACCACTGGAACCTTTCAATGCATGGGTTTCTGCCCCGATTCGGTTCCACTTGCCTCGTTACCTCGATGCATGCCGGACTGGCACTAAAGACTTCATAGGATCTGTGTCGGGGTTTTAATCTGGCTTTCGATTCAACCCGGCAAGCTGACTTCGAAAACCATACATACAAATTTAACCTTCAGCCTTAAGCCGTTAGCCAAACCACTTATGTTTCAATCTTGAGCCCGAAAGCTTGAACCCAAATCCTTAAACCCCTGATTACATTTTAAGCTTGAAACTTCAACCCGACAGCCGACACTACGGCCACAGATGATTCGCCTCCACCTTCTTGACCTCTGGCTCATCTGTCTTTTCCTGCGTTGGCTTTAGGTTGATCTGGACGTCTTGCAAGGGCGTGGCGACTTAATGATTTCGGACTCAGGACTTAAGGTTTACGGTTCTGTGCCAGATATAAGACATGAGTATTGATGGTTGAAAGTTTGAAGGTCCTGTACGTCTCGCAGAAAATCCGACCAAGCGGGGCTGCAGCTGCACACGGTGTGCTTCGGAACATGGGGCATCCGGAATGAAGCCGCACCCCTTCACCCTCAATCCCTACAAACCATTCGAGGCAAAACCCTAATCCCCATGTACTCCCAAGACTCTCAAAACCTGAAGGCGTTAAAAACCTAATGACCATTCAGATGTCCAGCCAGACTCCAGACCTACTCTTGTCCATGATGTTGACTTACCCTAAACCCTACCTAAACCCCCCAAAAGTAGGTAGAATCATGGCCCAAAACCCATAAAAGGGCAATTATTTTACATACTTTTGGGATCCAGGTAAGCCCTAAACCCTAAACCGTGTTCGGTTTATAGTGTTTAAGGTTGAGGGTTCCAATCAGGATTTCAGGATTCGGGTCCCGAACCAGAAGGGGAAAGAGGTTTGGGTCCCGAACTTGGGGTTGAGTTTAGGGTTTAGGGGTTTAGGGTTCAGCGTTTAAGGCTTAGGCTTTGGGGTCTGGGGTTTAGGTTGAGAGTTAGTTTAGGGCCGCGGTGGGGTTTAGGGTTGACGCCAAATTCCTAAAACCCCGTAGACCTGGCCCCGAGACAGAAGCCATGAACACACTTCCCAACTACACGAATGCGTGATCATCAGAAATCAAAAATATGTGGGCCTTCATTATGAGAATGGATTTAAGAGGGTTTGGGGGGTACATTATGGTAGACGGTAGACTCATACGAAGCACTGCTAGGAACAATATAGAAACAATTTTGCCGGCCTCTATAGTACATCAGCAAATTGAAGCTTCAAGGCTCCTGACAAATGGTAAAACAACGACATGTCATGAACCCACTCACAGGGACAGCCGCGGGCCACCCTGTACCCGAATCCAAAGATCCTGAAGCCCTTGCTCAGCAGCACTATAGAGCATAAACCTTAACCCGACCAGCCACTACCATTAGTAGCAGTGATGAACAATCCGAATGGTTCTAAGAATGCGGACTTTGTTTGAACAACACGTCCACCCTAAACCTTAAGCCCTAGAGCCCTAAACCCACCCCAAGCGGGCCTTGCTAGCCTTCACAATGACTGGACTGCTGGAAGACTCCTTGCTCTTGCTCTTCTTCCTGGCTGCCGGAGGCTTTGAAATACCCCTTAACACCAAATCTCTAGCTTTTCAAGGACCGTTATAAGGAAGCAAAAAATTTCCCTAAACCCTAAACCCTAAACCCCTTTAAGGAACCCTGAACAAGTAGGTTTCTTAGGGTCCAGGTAGGGTTTTGGGGGCTTCGGAATCTTGGGCTCCGCAACCCCCGGTGTCCATGTACCCAAATAGTGTAGGGTTTAGGGTTTAGGGTTTAGGGTTTAGGGTTTAGCGTTTAGGGTTTAGGGTGTATGGGTAGTTCTCTAAATTAGGGTCCCTCTTAGGGCCCTTTTTATAATGGTGCCGTACTATGTTGGGGACCGAAAATGGGGCCCTAATTTAGAGAACTAGCCATATACGTTGGTCCCAAACTACCTGTATACGGACTGCGCCAAAGTATATACTCTTAGGGCACATGGACCCTTAGGCTGATAGGGGTTTAGGGGGGCTTGCAAGACCCAGGCTCGAACAATGCCGACAGTCTCCATGCCCACTTCCACGATAGCCACTCCAACCCTGAACCCTAAGCCCAAACTCTAAACCCCAAGCCCTAAACTCTCAACCTTCAACCCTTTCCCTAAATCAACAGCCCCAAACCCCTAAACCCTAAAAGCCCTAAGCCCTGAATGCCGTAACCCCTGAACCCAAAGCCCAGAACCCTTACCCCTTAAAGTTCTAAGCCTATACAACTCGAGATGCAAACCTCGAAACGGACGTGAAAGCTGCCCAAAAACTCGATGCTAGAGCTCAAGGTTTGGGTTTTTTGAGTTAAGGGGCTTAGGACTAAATCCCGTTTATTAGCAACATCTTATACCGCAGAACCTCACCAGACTTGCGACTGAAGCAGAGGGGCCTCTCCGCTGGACTGCGCCGTCTTCCTATCGCACGGAAATTCTGGGGTTAGGGTTTAGTCTTCCAGGTTTAGGGTTCAGGATCTACGGTTTGGCGCGGAAAAGGCGAGTAACCCTAAACCCCGTAAGGCTGTAAGACAAGAGGGTTGTAAGTCGTTTGGAGAAGTTTCTTTGAAGAATACTTCTTGCACAAGCTGGATTGGATGTGAGGTTCACGGTTACAGTCTTGAGGATCTTAAAGTTTTAATGGTTCAGTTCATGCAGCTGCGGAGCTAAGAGCTTTCTAGAAAGAAGGGTTTGGGTTTGGGTGCGAGGATTGCCTTGGTTTTTTGATGTTTTGGATTTAGTTGGAGACGACTTGGGGGTAAAGGCACTACGGCTGATGGACAAAATCCTGCATGACCTTATGTACCTAAACTATGGGATTTATGGTACTATACTATATTTGGGTCATGCAGAATTTTGTCCATCAACAGTATCAAATTGCTGGTAGCGTTTTCCGGGCTTGCAAGTTTCAGCCTGGGGCCATATCAAAAGGGAAATTTCGGAGACTCAGAGCCTACCTATAGTCTCCATTGTAGTTCCTTTTTTTGGTTTAACCGTTCTTATGTTAAGGATCCTATAAGGTACCCCCAAAAAAGGAACTACAATGGACACTCTAAGTAGGGTCTGCATCATTCTTGCCCGCTTCTCCTCTACAAGTCCATTCACATCTCGATAAGATGGCAAACTTTGTGCCGAAGCGAGGTGTGAGAAGCGTGTAACTGGCGTACTTCTTTCACACCTAAACACCAAAGCCAATCTAAAGCCTGGTCAAGGCAATCAGTGCCGTGGTCGCCGGAAGTACATAAGTTCGATGGCATACATTCGATCACAGCCATGTAACACCGGAACCTCCATACGAAACCACTAGTTCCCAATCGGCAAGAAAGGCACATACAAGTGCCTCTTAAGCAAGTTCCTACAGTCAGCAGATATGCGGCTTGATTTTGGCAGTTCGGCCAAAAGAGCTTCAGCAAGCAGGGATTTATTGCTAGAACCCCGGTACCACCATGGTACAAGTTCTACATCTGCACTCGCGAAGTTTCAACAGAGACATGTACACAGTCACCAAATCCCTGACATACATCCTACTTTAACACCATAGAACCTACCTTTTTCTAGGGCTTCTTATTATGATTTCCCTATATACATCCTTAAAAAGTCGGTTCTTTGGGCTCCAGGTAACTCATAGGTTTAGGGCCCAGGTACTTCATAGGCGTACTGAGGGCAGAACCTCGCGATTTGCCCGAGGCCGATCGGTTACGGCGTCGTGACCTTGGGTACTCCGGTAAAGCCGTGCTGGAACCGAAACTCTACACCCAACCCTAAACCCTAAACCCTAAACCCATATAGACCCCTCAATTCCAAACCCTAAAATCCACATCTGACACCTTCAACCTGTCACGCGGAGGAGCCTGAGAATTGGAACAGAGTTTGTGGGCACAGTAGTTGCAGCAGAATAGGCCTAGTAAGGTTAGCATTCCAAAGGAGCCGCCTAAAGAGCCTTGAGATCCTTGTTTGCAGGGTCCATGGCGGTTTCAGGGTTTAGGGGTAGGATTCGGTTTAGGGTTTAGGGAACAGAGGTTTCAGGGTTTCAGGGTTTAGGATTTAGGGTTTAGGAACAGAGGTTTCAGGGTTTCAGGGTTTAGGGTTGAGCCTTGTAGACGGCACTCTCGGGCAAACAACCCAGAATTCAACTCCCAAGACCCCAAAAATCCAAACAAAAAGAGGGGTTGCATATTCAGGAAGTTGTAGGAATATCATAACCATGACCGCTTCGTCTTAAACACTAGCAACCTGGTATTGCCTATTTGTACATGTCACTTCATATGTTAAAGGAAATATCTACATGAATGAAGGAATCTTGCAGAATATATCGGAGAGACCGCTCTCGGCTCACGACCCATCGCGCTTCTTCAGTTCTGCCTGAGGCCGCGACTTGGCGTGAATTTGGTGGTAGCATGAGCAGTAGCAGTATATAGCAGTAGCAGTGGTGGTAGTAGTAGTAGTAGTAGTAGTAGTAGTAGTAGTAGTAGTAGTAGACTGCTGAACATACTTATCCAACATGGGTGTGAAAGAACCACTCAACTACGAGCGCACACATTCATGTTAAAA